GCAGCTCGGGAAGGACCAGCCCAAGCTGGATCATTTTGGACCACATCCCGCTGGGGTTTGGAGACCCCCAAGGAGAGAGGTGGAAGTGGATGCACCGGGACCAGCTGCTCAGGGGTTGTGGGTTCTCCTCCCTGGAGATCCCCCAGTGCCACCAGGACGTGGTGCTGGGCACCCTGCTCTGTACTGGCCCTGATGGGGCCATGTGGGACCAGAGGGACCAGGAGATCCCTGACATCTCAGCCATTATGGGATGCTGAGGTCCCCACCATCTTCCTGCTGCCCATCGCTCTCCAAAGCCCTTCCCCACCTGGCTCAGTCTGCCGTGGGTTTGAGGTTGCAAGTGGCCATTTCTTTCCCCCAAAAAGAAACAAATTCCACCTTGCAAGAACTTCCCGGGGTGCGGCGTACCCTGCAGCTAATGAAATGAGCCAGTGGCTGCTACTCGGGAGCCAAAAGCAGGAGGAAAATCAAAGGCTCCTAATGGACACGCGCTCCGATGTGTAACAACACGAGCACCCGGGGGGCTGCTCCCTGCCAAATCAATCTGGCTGCGGCCCAGGGACGCGGGCAGACAGACCCAAACTACCTCACCTGTTTCATTAAGCCATTACCAGAATCATCTTATCCCCATTTATAATGCTCGATACATGCTCTGAAGACTTCCCTCGTCCCGTAATTAGACGCAGCGCTTGGACGGATGGATTCAACCGGGCTGGCGTTTCGTGCGACTCCGCTGCCTTCCACGGGGGCCTCTCCTGATTTGAAAAATGGGGAAAAAAAAAAACAAACACACAAATCCCCTCCGGCTGCAGGTGATCCAGGTAACTACAAGTGCTGCTTCCTGATAATTCAATCCCTTCGATAATTCTCCCGTTTCCTGGCGGTAACGGCAGCAGCCGCCGCGCTAAATCCCCTTCCTCCTGTCCTCTCCCGTGTTGGGCAATGTGCGGGGCTGGGACACGGCCTCATCCAGCGGCCCCATCAGCCTGGATCCTGTAAATCATTTCAGAGCCATCCCCGCAATTTATAGGTAGGGCATTAAATATTATGGCCACTGACGGCATCAAATTACGCTTGAAAAATTGAGTTCTGCCGCAAAACGAATTTAAAACCTAAATTAAATTAAAACCTAACTAAATTAAAATTAGGTTTCTAAACTAAAATGACTTTTTAATATTTTCACGAGGAAAAAAAAAAAAAAACAAAAAAAAAACAACCCTTCTGTCAACTAATAAAAGCTGCCAGTGTCTTTTACAGCTGACAAGCCCTGTCTGAGAGCAGCTCTGGTGCTGCTGCAGAACAAATAACCGGCACGGACACGGGGCCGTGAGCTCCGCCGCATCCTCCGACGGGGGCTGGGAAAGGACAGCAACGCCCCCAAGCAATTAAAAAATAATGCTAATTAGCGGGAGCCGAGGAAGCGGCCGGATGGGGCAAACCCAGCCCCGCGTGGAGGGCACGTCTCGGCGGCGTGCCCGTGGGATGCTCGGGGACCGGGCTGGGCGGAGGCTCCCCAATGTGGTTTTCTCCCCGCTCGAGGCTCCCAGACGTTGGCTGCAGCCTCCTGAAGTCTATCCCCGGTCATTAACGGCGGTAATTAATTCATCCTGCTTTTTAAATAGCGTTCGATGTATGAGCCTGCCCCGCTCACGTCTTGATCTCTCGTTGTCACGGCTTTGATAGAAGAGATGCAGGAACGGCTCGGGTGACCATTCATCTATCGATTATCAGGGCAGGTTCAGCACGAGCGCCCGAACAGGACGCATCCAAACGAGCTGCAGGAGCCGGGAGAGATCACGCATGAGGCAAACGGGGCCGTGGAGCCTCCTCGGGTACCTCCTGGTGCCAGGATTTGGAGGAATTTGGTCCCGCGGGACCCCACGGAGACGTGGCACAGGTGGGACCCCACGGTCTGAGCCCCGTCCTGGCGCAGCAGCAGCTCCACGGCGCTTTCCAAAGGGGCTTTTTTTTTATCTCCCCGTGTTATTTATTGCTCCGTTACATCGGCAGCTCCCTCTGCGGGGAACTTTCCCTCCGCTCGCCGCGGCTTTGCCAGATCCCAGACTCGGGGGCTCGCCTGCCAGACGCCGAACCCAGAGTCCTCTTTCAACAACATTAATTATCTCTGGCTTTCCATAACAACAAAAAAAATATATCTTGACCCCACTGGCTGCCAATAGCGGGGAAGCGTGCGGAGGAAAAGGCTTTTATCTTCGCATCTCAGAGAAGAGCCTCGTGTTTGATCAGTCGGGGTGTTTTTTTTTCCCTCTTTGTACGTTTTGAACTTTATAGACTGATTAATTCCTCCTATGGCGGTAAACTGCTGCGTACGCTCTCGAGCGTTGACTTGATTTTCCTTCTATTAAAAAAAGAAATAAATTTCTTCCTAAGAAATTACGGGAGCTTAGCGCATCTTCGCCCCGCAAGCGAGTTGCAAAGAGCCTCAGGCTGAATAATGGGGCAGGGGGAGGGGGACGGGGCAGATTTCTTTATTTTAAATTAAAGTTAAGGACCAAAGGCATCAGGCTCTCAAGAGTTATTGTGAAAGCCTTTTTAAAAGTCCCAAGTGGATAGCCCACAGTCTCCTAAACGGCCAAGCTTAGAAGCAGAAATGCTCCAGATCTCCACATAGCCCAGGCACAACGGGGACAAGGGGTTGGGATTTTTTTTTTTTTCCTTCTATTTATTATGACCGCTGCTTCACAAAACCTGAACAAGACTGGAAGTAGTTTCTGTAAGCCCCGGGCACACAAAGCCTGGCTCTCCTGCGCTCGGCTATCAATAGGGTAACAAATAACCGCCTGTCCCCGCTGCCCGTCAGCACAAAGGATGAAAGTCAGGAGAAAAAGATTGGAGCCATTAAGTTCAAAAGTTAATTTCTCTGGCTAGGAAGAAAATACCCACTCATGCGCCATCGCTGATATCGACAGTCCAGATCAAAGATTCCATTTATTGTAATTTATTCCATACTTTTTCATTTCGCCAAATTATCTTAACCCTTACCTCTTAGCACGCATCCATCAGCTCGCTGCAAGAAACTCCGAGCTGTTTACAGAAAATATGGTGCCCGTTTTATTCTCTACCTTTGCAGTTCGAGCTCCATAATCGTGTCTAACAAATAAAGAATTTGACTGAGTTTGCAGCTCCTTCGGATGATAAATGCTCCCAGATTTATGGTAGTTATTCATGCAAGGACTACATTACATGTAAATCAATACCATAAAGAACAATTTGCTAAAAATATAAATACCATGTTTAGGCTTCAATGATGTTAGCAAAGCGGGATTCTTGTGTCTGCATGCGAAATAGCTGCACCTGGCCAAGTGACCAAGCAAAGAGCGAAGCACACTTGGTGCCAGCCCAGCCTAAAAATAAGAGGCGAGAAGGAGTGGGACCACAGCCTTGAGGGGCTGGGAGGGGTGCTCTCGATCCACGTGAATGCTGTGACAGAAATCCCAAATCATCCTGCTAAAAAGCCAAAAGAGCAAACCCAAACCCATGTGCAAGGAGATATCAGCCCCTGGTGGGGGCCGAGCCCCGTCCTCCCACCCACCTCCAGCTACAAACCACAGCTGGGACCAGCAGTGCTGTGCCTGGGGGCACCAGCCCCAGGACCTCACGAGGGGATTGTTGGAATAAATCTTCCAAAAAGACCCCAAGTCCCTGCCTCTGCAACCCAAAGCCACCACGGCGAGTCCATCACCAGCCCAGGGGACGGAGCTTGATGCCCCCAAAATGTGAGCCGCCAACCATGTTCCGTGGGTGCTTTGTGAGCAGGTTCCTGGGGATGTGGGATGATGGAACTGGGGAGAAAGTGGGCATTTTGGGGTTTGTTTGTGTAGAGCTTTTCGGTTCCCTGTTCTACAAGGGAGAAGGGACAAGAGGGAGAAGGGACAAGAGGGAGAAGGGACAAGAGGGCGATGTCCCACCCAGCCATTGGGGCCGTGTCCCCCTGTGCTCGCCACGAGGCCACAGCTCCTGTGGGTCCTCCCCGCTCTCATTGCCGGGACCTTTAGGGACAGGCACCCTGCCCACCACGAGGGCAGCAAAAAGCAGTTGCAAATTGGGCAGAAACACGGTCAAAACGCACTCCCCTCTGCCACACCGTGCCACTGGAACCGAGGCAGGGCAGGCACAGAGAGCAGGACCCCCAGGACCGAGGGCTGCTGCTGAAGAGAGACATCTCTGGCTGTAACTACATAACTCAGAATAAGAAGACAAAGCTGGAACACAGCGCAATTAATGCAGGAAGCATCGATTGCTGCCCAGCACCAAGCTGCCTCATTAATTCCAGGTGCTCCTACGAGCCGCTTCCAGCACAGGCTGGGCTCAGCGACGGGAGAACAGGGGATGGCAAAACCTCTCCGTGCGTGCCCTTGGCCCTGCTGACACAGAGGTGATGATGGGACGAGGGAAGAGACCCCTGAGCGTGGCTTTTGGGAGCCTCCCCCCCGTGTCCCCAGCATCCCAGGGACGAGGGCTTCGCGTTTCACTCGGCGCCGAGTCCCCCCCAGCCACACCGAATGCCAAAGCTGGTTTGCACTTGCTGGAGCCTGACAAGAGCCACAATCACAGATTAGTACGGAAACTTCTTGCTTTTCAACAAAGGTTAATAAATAGTGACAGCATTAAGTCTATTCTGATTAACTATGCTGAAAGATATTATTGCCGTTTGTACCGCGGGATCATTATTGGATTAAGCGCAGTGTGTAAAAATGAAATGTGAGGTTTAATCTCCAGCGCAGGCTCGCCGTGCCCTGATGCAGCCCGTGCTGCTCTCAGAGCCTCCTGGAATTAAATTTGGTGACTTCTTCCGTCGACAGAGAGCATCTCCCACGCGCTGCCTTTTGAGTTGGTCGGATTTTGCTTTCCTCGACCGGCCACCACGTGTCCTGGCGGAGATCAAGCCCCTGTCCCTGTCCCAGCAGAGGGAGGATTGGGCCACACATCCCCTGAGCCCCACAAGGGGACGGGGACAGGGACAGGGGACACGGCGCTCCCCACGGCACATCCCACACCCCGCTGCTGGGACACCCGGGGGCAGATGTCTGCAGGGAAAACATTTCTAAACCAGCCACTAACAGCAAAATTTCCAAAGCGACAAGACCAACGCAGAGAGACAATGTCCATGCAGAGGAGGGGGGAGAGGAGGAGGTGCAGAAACCTAATTATTTGCTGTAACCTGCTAATTTCAGCGTGTCACCTAAATTCTCTTCAGCTGCTCATGCGGCGTTTGCTTACGAGCCTGGCGCTCAGACAGGTGCTGTGGCTTTTAGTTGGACGCACTCGGCCCAAATTCACCTGCTGCCAGCCTGCCTAATGCCAATGTAGCCACACCAGGGAGGAATTTGATCCATTTTTACTCAAAATTGGGGAAGAAATGGCCCCACGCAGCCCCGGCACCTCCCACAGGCCCCCCCCATGCTGCGCGTCTTCCTTCACCAAGAATTCCACAGCCGTGAAAAACAGGATTCATTTCCTCCAGAAAAAAGGCATTTCTGAAGATGTTCTCGCTTGAAATACTGGGAAAACCGATTCTGAACACCTCCCAAAATAAAAGATTCCTTTTTTTATCATTATTTTTTTTAGTTTAGGAGCATTCAGTCCCAGTTTATCGCTCCTGCCATTAGTGCTACGCCTACATTATTTCGCTCCACGGCACGAGGACTCCTTTATAACGTGACATAACAGCTTAACTATTCAATTATTGCATATTTTCTTATTTTTTAAAATCGTTAAGAGCAGCTGCTACTTAGTCCTGATTGCAACCCCTTATCTCCTTCCCCAGATCAAAGGGGTGGCTGCTTGTGGTAATGGAAACGGTTTGACACCTCGATCAAAGCCTCTGCTGTTTGTGCTGTCGGAAAAGTGTTTGACACTTGTGTCAAAGCGTCAAACTATTTCATTACAGCGCCAACCGGAGACACTTTGACTACGGGAGATAAGATGTTTCAATCAATCAGCATCCACAAATGGCCTCCCCCCTATGATTAAAAAAAATAAAATAAAATAAAATAATCAGGTGGTTCTGGCTGGAGTTTGCAAGGCGGCTGCGGGGTGTTGTTGCTGCTTGTGCGCAACGGAGCAGTGTAGTAATGAGGGATGGCACAAAAGCAAATGCAAAAGCTGAGAAAAGAGAATTTGAAACAAAAATCCTGAAAGTTTAATAAAAAAATTAAAACATGCCATTTTTTGGAAGCGCTGAGACATCCCACCTGTGCAAACCCAGGGCAGCAGCTGGGTGCTGCCGGGGCTCCCAGCAGAGCCACTGGGGAGAGGACGCACGGACCCAGCCCTGCCATCACCACCACTTCCAGGGGAGGTGGCACTGGCATCCCCATAGAGCAAAAAGATTTGCAAAATTTAGTTAAAAAGGAAGAAATCCAATGTCATCAGCTCCATCTGCCCTGACAAACCCATGTAGTGGCTGCTGGGGGTCAAAGATGGGAAGGTGACGTGGGACCAGGGATGGTGACGTGGGACCAGGGATGCCTGGAGGCAGCCCCGGTGTCCCCACGCTGTGCTGTCCCACCAGTCCCACCCGTGTCAATGCTGCCACCCTAATGCCACCAGGGCCACCAGCTCCGAGCCTGGCTGGGAGTTATGCACCGAGCAAGCACTGCTCGTTTCACCAATTAATTGCATATTGCCTCCGGCACATTCACCACTCATTTCCCTAAATTCACTGGCTGGCACCCAAAATGAACCATATTCCTCAGGCTCCACCATTTGGGACTTGGACAAGGAGGGGGAAGGTGGCACAGCGGGGTCTGGCTGGGGCAGGAGAGCTGCGTGTGGGACGGGGATGGGGACGGGGACGGGGACGGGGACAGCTTCTGCCCCAGTCTCTGGGGTGCGGCTGCAGGGCCTCTGCGCTCTCCTCCCTGCAAACTCCCCTTGCAAAATTGGTTTTTAGCAAAGCCACTTATCACCTTAACCATCTATCGATCCCTTGACTCCCGGCCAGCTGCTCCCAGGATCCGATAGAGGAAAGGCAAAAAAACCACGGCTGCGAGGGAGAGCTCTGGGCAGCTCCGCTCCGGCCGCCCCTCACCTGGGGGAACTCTGCCTGGGCTGGGGGACACGAGCGGGTGAGGACTGGCACAGATCACCCATCTCGCTGCCACCTGGGCCCCTGGGCCAAGTCCTGCCCTCTGAGGCGGCTGCAGGCGGTCAATATATCGATGGGAAGCTCGGGCAGGCGGCCAGAGCCGGGTGCGTGCCCGATCCCTGCGCCACTCCGGCTGCTGCTCAACCCCAAATCTCACAGCAAACAAAACAAGAAGGCAGGAAAACCAAAGGAAACCATTTGTGCTTTTGCCAGGAAAATGGAAAAGGAGGAAGCTGGAGGATTATCCGTGGGGACCTCTGCGGATGGAAACACAAGGGTTTGGATAGCTCAAGGTAAAAAATCCTGAGCCGTGTTGGGTCCTGCCCACCTCGAGCTCTGGAGCTCAGGAGATTGGTTTTGAACCAGCAGATTTGCACATCATTCACTCAGCTCTTCTTTTTGAGATAGATTTGTTGCCTGGATTTTAGAGCTGCTCCCCAGACACGTTCTCACCCGAGGGACGATCACGACAGAGAATAAAAACCAAAATCACCTGAGCCCCATTCTGCAGGAAAACAACCCTATATCCATCACACTGCCTAACCCCAAGCCGTGCAGCCAAGAAAGCCACAAGGACTTCGAAAAGGACAAAAGGTCCCTTCCTTCTTCCCCCAGGGTGACAGCCACGCAGCAGAGGTGACGGAGCCACCGGGACGCGCTCAAGCACCAGCAGCAAGCCCAGCCCGGCTGGGATGCACCCAACACCGAGCCGAGGATATCCGAGCACCCCAAAATATCACCGGGGGGTCTCAGAGACCCCTTCCCTCACCTGCTGGGGACAGGACACCCCGTGGGAAGATGCAGCAGTGAAGGTGAGGAGCAGGCTGCAGAGCGCAGCCCCCGTGCGCTTCCCAGCAGCATCGATCTCCCCGCGGTAGCAGCCGGTATAATTTTGCTTGGCTTCAAATACCTGGCGCTCATGAATTCTTTGGCCACAAGGTTATAAAGCATCCTCTAAAACATGAGAAAAAGATTAAGCCTGCTTATAGTTAATAATATACTGTATACTGTCTATCAAGCTGGCTGTTTGCTATTGAGAGCCTACTATTAGACACTTATTTAAAAGGCCTTTCAAGGCTTCCGAAGAAAGTGCAGTTATGCATTTTTTTTTTTTTTTTCTGGCAAGAACTACTATAGATAAACATCAATTCGCTCCTGCAGATCACAGTCGCAGTAAATAAATTTTTCAGGAAGCTAAGTTCCATACAAAGCCTTCTCAAAGCTCCCATTTCACACAACATCAATGTTTGGCCTCTGAGAAATAAAAGCTCTGAGGTTGCTTTATCCAAAGCTAAATTATCAATTGTAGCTGCTTAAAAAAAATAAAATAAATAAAATAAAATAGGGCATTGCAATGAGAAACCAGCGTGGGGACGGGAAGGAGACAACACCATTTGTAGACAGCGTGGCCGTTCAGAGACAAAATGGGGAAAGACAGCGATTTTGCTGGCAATTGATCGGGTCTTTTGCCTCTGCGAAGGCTTCAGCAGCCCAAAACTTTTGGGTGAAGGGCGCTGCGGCCGTGCAGCGGGCGGCGTTACGGGCTGGCTTGCCAACAACCAGCTTCGGGCAGGCTCGGCAGCCAGCGCTCTCGCTATTTTCTTTTATGGCTTTTTCAAGTAGCGGGCTGGGATTATCCATTACGGAGTATTTGTCACCAAAAAAACCCCACGCCGGCTGTAAGAGGAAAAGCGGCGGCTCCTTGGCTTGCAGCCGAGCGGGGAGGACGTGCAGCCCAACGGGGACCCCCGGCGCCTTTCCAAGCATTTTGTCCTTGCCGAGGACAGAGGAGGGGGCCGTGGCACCCCACATCCCACATCCCACATCCCATCCCGTGTCCCGTGGCGGTGCCGCAGCTGTGGCCGTGCCACACACGCCTTGTGGCAGCCCCGGGACCTGCTGGCGCTGTCGGAGCCAGGAGCGTGCTCAGGCTCAGGATGCTCCATCTGCTCGGTGTTGGAAGGGATGCTGGGCTCTGTTCTTCTGTAATTATTAGCCAAAAAGAAGGGATGAATGCAGAAACCCTTCCAGGCGTGCTGGTAGGAAGGGGTGGGTAAGGAAAAGATGCCTCCTGCCAAAATGCGACCCGCGTGCCCCCCGAGGCTGTGCCTAACACACCCGAATACCCCAAGCTGCAGGAGCCTCGTACCTGGAAGAACGGCTGAAACCTCCCAGGGGAAGGAGGACAAGATTACTTGCTGGTCTCGGTGACTCCTGCTCCAATTAGTGCAGCCTGCTCCTGATACAAGAGGTTGTACCTGCCAGCCTTGGGACTGCCACCAGCACGGCTCCGCAGACCCAAATTAACCCGGCGCTGCGAAGCACCGACCTTCCTTCCTTCCCTTAAATTGCAAATTAAGGAGCACGGCGACACTTCCCACCTCGCGGGGGGGACCCCGGCACCCACCGCACGTTTTTGGGGTCATTCCTGCCCGAGCAAGGACAGCAAAGCCCAGGCTCCGATCCGCGCTTCATTTACTTACTTCGTTGCTAAACACAAAGGCAATTAGGAGAGTTAATAAGTCACCGGGGGAGCCGCTGCCTTTCTCAGGCCTAAAAACCAGGCACGTCCCCGCTACCTGCCAAAGGGCACCCACGATGGATCATCGCGACTCTGTGCTTTCTGAGCGGTTATTAAAAATAAAAGCCAGGTCAGCTGCCCCCCTTCCTCTTTATGAAAATGTTTTCCTTTCAACCCGCCCCAGAAAACAACCAGCGGGCACTCGCCGGAGAAGCGCATCCTCTCCATCACTAAAATAAACTGAATTTGGAAGTCGGGAACTCGTGACACCCGTTGCTCTCCCGAAAATAAACCTGCCGGGGATGATATAAGCTGCGTATTTAACCTTCTGACGTCGCTCATGTTTTTAGCAGAAACCGATCCGTCGCCCACCCCGGCCGCTGCCACCACGATTGTAGCACGGTCCCACAGAGCTGTGACCTTAAATGATCCACGGGGAGAGGGGAAATATTTGTTTAGGTGAAGGAGACAGCCAGGAGGCACAAGCTTCGAAAGCAAAATTAAAATTGCAGAGCACCCAGGGCAAAGCCATGCAAATTGCCACTAGGACCAACTTCTCCATATCAATACCTGCCAGCAATGGGGCTTCCCAACGATCCCTCAGCGCTCACCAAACAGCCCCAAAGTAACCCTTAATCCAGTGGCACCGCTTGCCAAGTCGTATTTATGAGACTTTTACCTTTCCTGTTACTGAAAAGGAGCGAGGGAGGGAGGTGGGAGTTTAATTTTCCGGCAGGCCCATTATGCCAGTTGTTAATGCTCGCTTCGGGCCGAAATTTTGACACACCAGCTTCTACTTAGGGGGAAGTGTAATTTACGCACGCCTGTGCGAAAAGAAACGCACGCGAGCGTTACGATGCGATGCAGCACGCCGAGCTTGGGGTGCCTTTTGCACCTCGAGCACTCCCAAAAAAAAAAGGGCAAAGATAGCATCCCCACCCCAAATTTAACTTCGAGTGGGAATTCGGCTCTTGTAGAATTAAGGGTGGGGATGAAATCGGCCGAGTGACTCCCTTTGAAGGCTTCTTGCACCCAGGGTGTGGGCTGGAGACCTTCAGGCTGGCGGAGAGACCCCTGAGCCCTTGGGGACATCCCCAAGTAGAGGCACGGTCCCTTTGGGGACCCTGCTAGGGTAGGCAAAATCTGCTCACTGGTAGGGAAGTGTTTTTCCATCAATAACAGAGCTAAACCAAGCCTTTGGCACGCCCTCTCCTCTCCCGAGGAGCACCAGGGATTTGGGAGTTGGCTGGCAGCCGAAATCTGTGCGGTGGGCAACGCAGGTGACTTCTTTTGGGGAGAGGGGACGTGGAGGGGGGGGGCAGCCCCGCGCCGAGCTGCGTGCGAGTGCGAGCAAACAGTCCTGTAAATAAAGAGCACCTCCGCCCTGTCTCCACAATGCTACCCTTATTGAGTGAGTCAGATGTTCTGCTGATTAAAAATTGATCCATTTCAAAATCTAATCAACAGAATAGGATTCTTTCATATGTTATCAAGGCAGCTGCTGACAACAAAAACCAAACCTGTTATTAACCCATGAACCCCAATGACCTGAACCTGGCTGGGCTCTGGAACCGTAAATTATTCAGTAGTCCAAGAGCAATCCCGTAAGCCTGATGAATTTACGCACCGACTGGAGCCTTTGTGGGTTAAAGCCAATATCACAGCCCCACGGGTCCCCGGGGACGCGGTTCATGACACGCTGCCATTCTGTGTCATGCCTGTGAATACATTACTGGCGTCTGCTCGGCTTCGCCTTTCAAATGTCTACTTCTTTTCTTTTTTTTTTTTTCTTTTCCTTTTTTTTTTTTCCCATATAAAACGACTTTCGGGGTCGGCACGGCACCGGAGGGAGCGGCCGCGGCACTGGAAGGGTCCCGTGCAGCACTGCTGCAGGGCTGGGAGCCCAAAAGTCCCATGGACGTGCCACGAGGCCAGATCTTGGCACAAGTCTTTGCTTTGGAGCAAAATCTGAAGAAATGAAGAGCAAATGCTTCCCAGCCCTGCTCGGAGATGTTGCTCTCCGGGGCGGTGATGCTTCTTCCATCGCCATGCCTTGCCCCGGGCACCGCCGCCTGCCTGCCTCCAGCTCGGGATGCTTTCCAGGGCAAAGCCCCTGCCCTCGGCACCGCTGCACGTTTTTTATTTTCCATCTCCAGCCCGCCGAGGTCCCAACCCCGGTGCCAGGCGGCTGCGTCATTCACCCCGCCTAGGAGGCTTCGACCAGAATGGGAAGAAGTCGGCGCCGCATAAACCGAGCTGGAAGCCGGCGACTCTTCCCTTAAATACTAATATATTTATAAGTTCAACGACTCTCTGACCTCCCCTTAAAGCCAAAACAACCCCCGGGGAGCCCCCTCAGAGCTGCCGCTATCGATCCCGTCTGGCTGCCAGCTCGCGGCGAGCATCGCCCCCCAGGGAAAAGCCCCTCCTGCCCCACGGAAAAGCCCTCGGCAGCCCCCTGGGTAAACGAGGGGCACCAGGGCTCCCGTGCTTCCCCGATCTGGGCTCCAACAGTGCCTGATGAGCCCTTCTTTCCCCACCTAAAACCTGGGGGATGCAATTCTGCCTGCAGCAACAGAGCCGCAACCGTAGGGCTTTCTCCTGAGACCTGCTGGGTGTGGGCATTTCAGGACCAGCTCCATCCAGAAGCTCAGACGCACGGAAGAAGTGCACCACGGCTCTCAACAGGGCAGGAGAAACACCAGCTATTGACTTTTTTTTTTTCCCATACAAGTCCAGCAGCGCTCTAAAACCAACCCAGGGAGCAGCAGCAGCAGCAAGTGGCTACCAGCGCTGCCAGCAAAAACACAAGCATTTTCATGCTGTTTTGTTTGGTTTCTGTGTGTTGTTTTTTTTAAAGCTTCCCTGGTTAAAGCCTTCTGGCTTGACACCAAGCTTTGCATCTCTCCGAGGGATGCTCCGGATGTGATTCTGCAGCTCTGCAGCCCCCGGCTGTGGGATACATCCACTGAAAGGTGGCTGGGGGGTCCCCGATGAGACCCCCGATATTCCACACAGCATCAAGAAACAGGGCCAGGGGGAAAAGCCCAGGGCAGGATGCGGCCAAGGGCCTCCAGCACGGGCACTGCAGCAATGTGTGAACCACCACGGGTCCTCCTCTCCATCATCATCACCGCCAGGGAGGAAGGCTCGCCCGCGATCGCTGCTGGAAGGGCAGGCGGGATCGGCCCCTGGGCTCCCTCCTCGCTACCTAATAATCACACTTGTGCGAAGCTGTTGCCGTACATAACGAAAAGAGAAAACATCCTTGGAGAGCCTAACAATCAGACAATTTTTAAGATCATGGAGCATTAAACCATTCCCAGTAGGGTTTACTAATCAAACAGCCAAATCCTTCATAACCAACCAATCCCTACAGAGCAATTAAATCCTTCCCCTTTAAAACACTTGGCACACTGTCTGGGGACGAAAAGAAAAATTTGCAAAATTCATTTGATAAATTAACCAGGGAAAAGAAAGAAGTGAATCAAGCTTTGTTCTTTTCATTTTTTTTAATTATGGAATTCACAATGCCTGAATAATGTTTAATAAGAACTATGAAAAATTCCTAACAGTATTACAACACAACACAAAAGAATTAACCTGGTTACCGTGAAAAATTGCATATTTAATTAAGAACAGAGAGTTCAAAACTATCCAGAGATTTCAAAAGTACTGCTGCCTAAGGGGCTAAATTACACGCTCGCAGTGCTGCTAACAGGGCTGGAGCGCGCAATCATTACCCAAGTGTCCCCATTAAGTGACAATGGGCAGATGACATCAAATTCATTTCAAAAGCAACAGGAACTGAAGCATTCACTTGGGTAGTGGAAGGCAAAGCGACTACCCTGCTGGTATAAACCAGACCCCTTGTTGATAAAGGCAATAATTAAAGAATAATGTTAATTAGCTGCTTTTATTTGAAGGAGCGGCGCGGCGGCCCCGGCTCCGCTGCCTCCACGGCGCGCGCCGTGCTCACGCGGTGGGGAACTGCACGGGCAAAACCACGTCCCCG